AAAAAAAAAAAAAAGATTAAAAACAGTGCATTACAAAAACAAAAATCAAACAAACCTCCTTAAGTGGCACTTCTGAAAGTTGAACTGACACTACCAGAAGAAATTCAGGCCAGTTAAGATAGGGATGTCCTTACTCAATTGGTAATTAAAAACATCCATTTGTTTGTAATATTCATTTATAATTGCTTTTTGATTGAAAAATAGAACAAGGTTTTGCTAGGCTTACTTATGACAATGACTAGACAACCAGAGATCCAACTGGCTTAGCCCTACTTATCCAAAAGTATATTTCCAATAAGAATATACTTTAATGATTGAAATGAAAACAAAATAAAGTACCACCAGGGGTTGCAAAGAGTATATATTTACAATGTTGCTACCACATTCAAATTGCAGTTCTGCATTTGCTATATTTTTAGTTTCTCGCAGCAAAGATTGATATGAAAGACTGATTTTAAAATCATGTTAAAATGAAGTATGTTTTAATTTGCATTAGCAGTTGGTTATAGAAAGATTATACTTTGAGAGCCCTTGGCATGAGGTTGATTAATCAACTTTGAATCTTTGATCACTATTTTGCTATAAATTAGCTTGGTATGTAAGCAGTGCAATGCCATATCTCAGGGACAAAATGCAAAAGAACTGTTTAGTTCTCTCCTGCTGGCTGATGATTGAAGCAGTAAGTCAATATACTTCCCTTGCTGGAAGTCAGGTGCAATGCTTTGTTCCAACAGCAAGGGGTATGAGGAGGTTCTTCGTAGGGTTAGGGATCAAACAACAATAAAAACCCAATAAAATTTTAAAAATGGTATCCCAAGAAGAGGAATAAAAACGACAATTGTACACTCTGATTGCACTGAATTCTTCGTAGGGTTAGGGATCAAACAACAATAAAAACCCAATAAAATTTTAAAAATGGTATCCAAAGAAGAGGAATAAAAACGACAATTGTACACTCTGATTGCACTGAACATTTTATCTGGCATCATGTGTCATCAGACATGAGGCATCTTGAGTGATAATTTTCACATTGGATCTCACAACCTTCTCTGGTTGTCTTCAGCTTTCAGTTTCCTGGAAGAGATGCATTATTGTTAAATTTGAAAATAAATCTTAAGAGTATTGTCTTACATTTATTTATATGCATTTATTATTATATTTTAATGTGTTTTTTCTATTCATTAGTTGCCATGAGCACTTTCTATCAATTGCATACATTAGAAAGTGCTCATGGCAACTAATTCATTTGCCAACTTTAGTTGGTCTTGATAGCAAATCCAACAGTTCTCTAACAAGTACTAATCTGTGTTCTGCACAGTGCCTTGGGGTTGCAGGGTGGGGAGCAGTGCTCTGAGAGAGGGGAAAAAGTGTGCTGATCTCTACTCCCCTAAGCCCCAACTCAACATTATAGCTTTGATTTTATTGATTTTAAATATTTTATTGGTTTTATATATGAATATAAAGTCAACGGTAATAGCTTTTTGTCCTCCAAAAATGTTCTTCTAGTTCAAAAACAATCTTGGGCTAGCTGTTTAGCTTAGTTGGTTAGAGTGTGGTGCTGGTAACCAAGATCTGGGGTTCGATCCCTGAACAGGCCAGCCACCAAAAACAAAAAATCTCGAAAAATACCTTCTCTAGAAAGAAAGACCACAGTATTGTGGTGGTCTTACAGAGGGAGGGAACATTCTTAGGGCTGCAAAGTGGAGTGGGGGGGGGGAGGATGGTTGGGGGACAATTGGGGGGG